TTGCAGCCGAGTAGGTAGACGTCTTGCTATTACTTCTGGTATAAAACTCGAGTTGAGGTCACTCATGCAATTCATCGAAATCAAGGTATTCTTATAACTCATAAGATTATCCAAAAACTCAGTGAGTGCCTGGGAATCATCCTGTGATTGACCACCATTACCCTTGACAACCTCGAATAGGTTCCCTGCAATCATCGAAGGTATTCCAAACCTTTGACGTAATATGCTCATAGCCTCGTAGTAGCCCTCTTTTGGCTTCATAAACTTACAACACTGTATAGCTCTTGCAGCATCTCCAGTGCAATATCTCATCAGATACATTAACTTCAATTCATCATTTAATAAAAACCACTCAACATGATCTCAAACTCCTTTACAAATTGTAAATAATCGGCCGGGTTTCCATCAAAACACCGTGGTTCAAATTTAGGAAGTTTGATGTTCCTATCATCCCTGAACGGCGAAACAGTAACATCAACCATGTCATGCTTAACATCAGACACATCGTTACAAGTAACAGACAAGTCACCATGACTTACTTTCCTGTTTGTATCCAAGACACTCTGTCCCTTCTTTGACCCAGGCATTGTTGAACTTAAGCAAATTCCAAAAACGTTCCAGATATTGCTTGTTCAAAGAGGACTTGACCGGCACCAGGAGAAATGAACGGCGACTATCCAAACTTTCACCAACTGTTTGAATCCGCCAGATCTGTTTAATAATAATAATGTATATTCTCATATAAACATATAAATTTACATGAAAATGCATGCCATTTTTACAGGCAAGATCAAGTATGATATAATATCAAATCGTAGATTATCTACAAGTTAATAATGTTTCGACAGTTAAATATTTGATAAATATATAAATACACATTGTCAGAACTAGGCTGTATAGTTATTGAATTGTACAATTGTCCTCCAGGTTGAGCGGGAAAATCGACTTCGTTTCGTTTTCATCCCGTGGTTGTCGGCATACGATAACCAACCAAAATTGAGGTAAGTACAACGTTTACAAGGGATTGAAAGCTGTTTTAGAAAAGTAAAAGTGCTGAGGTGAATCATTAAATTGTAATGAAATAGGTAAGTGCAAGTATCATTAATAAATGCATTAATAAAGAAAACTCCCTAGGCTGACAACGTTCATTTGCAATGTATAATGCTACACGTATATCTCGTAATATCATGATGTCCACTTTTGGTTTTAATACATTTATCCTCAGTTGTGCCAGTTGTTTTTGTTTTATACCCTTTTGTGCATTTAGTGTACAACCGTACCCTTCAGAGAGTAGGAATATAATAAATCATAAAGAGCTGTAAAATGTTAGGTTTAATGGGATATAATGAGGATCAAGTAAAGACGTTATTGGAAAATGAATGAGATAAGACATTGTGAAGTGGTATTTAAAGATCAGACAATGGACAGCAAGTTAGTTTATAAGATGCCCCATAAATCTGTGCAGATCCCGCGTGGTCGCGTCTCAACAATAGGCTGAGCGAATGGTATATTTAAAGGTAGAAGCATGATCTGTCAAGGCGTTCATTATAATCTTTTTTAAGATAAAGATCTAAGGCCTTATAAAAATCAGAAATATCTCGAGCCTTCAAATTGTATATTGCTGTTCCTGCAGAATGGGGTGATTCACCTTAGTGACCCCCACCATATCTACTGATCGGCTGACGCCACCCTCCTTCCTTTTTTGATGTTAAGCTCTGAGACTATGATTATTATGGCTACCGCAAATATGTTGCTTGGTACCAGACATGTTCGTACCTCATATTCCATCTCCCTAGCTTTCTTAATGAGTGCTTCCGATAGGTCTCCGCGTACATCTTTATGAACATTATATGTGTGCATGCGTCCTAATGAACAGATTACTTTACAAGAAGTTAGAACCTTAAAGAATAAAAAGAATAGGTTTTGTGAATAGGGAAGCAAGATTCAGCAGAACAATATAGTTAGGGATCAATGTAGGTAGTATGAACTGAAGGTAAGGTGGGTTGGCAGGACTTAGTGTACTAGATTATCATGACAGTCTTGTATATAGTAGACATCTGACATTGCAAAGTAACCTGTCTACATATATTATAAAAAGAGATTAACAGAACCAACAAAATTTCAGCATTTGTTTAACAATACTACAGAAGGGTAGTTAGTACTACAGGTAGTCGTAAGGTAAATCAATCTATGTATAATAAGAGCATAGTCAGTGTCATAATTCGTATTATCAAAGAATACATTAGGCTCAATAACTGAGTGTTATAAGGGAAACAAGCATGGTAAAGCAAGAGAACACTTGCCGCATAGCTATTTTAATCATTTTAAGTATTTTAATGACAATCGAATTTCAAGTATTGAACCTACATAATTACTAAGTGTTATTATATTGGTATTGGGACTAGTGTACTTTCCGTAGTTAAATATTGAAAAGCCATTGTCTCTCCACTCTACCAGCAGTTGAGATCTTTGAGGCGGGCTAGGGTGGACATGTTTATATGTTTTTCTAGGCTCCTTTTGAAACTGTCAGGCCTTTCACAGGATCTAATCTCTGAGGGTAGTTGGTTCCAAAGTTTGCAATATTTAATGGTGAAGAAGTTAGCTCTAGTGGTGAGTTTATGGGTGTTAACCTTGAGAAGGTAGTTATGGTTGCGTAGTCCATACGATTCAGGATTAGCCCAGGTTATGGACGAGTTACTGTTACAGTGCTTTCTTATAACTTTGAATAAGAGAAATAAATTGCACTTCACTCTCCTTAACCATAAGGGCTCTAAGTTCAGTCGAATACATCTGTCAAGGTATTATATTTGCTAACCATAGCCTAATATGCGTTCCGTGAAGAATCTTTGGACACTTTCAACTTTTTTTCTGTCTGCTGATTTAAAGCTACTGTATAAGTGGGCACAGTATTCAAGTTTGGGGCGAATGCATATCTTATATATGGCTAATCTGGCTTCTGCAGTGTAGAAGTTGCGTAGCACAAAGCCGGTTAGACGTTTACAATCAGATACCACCTTATTTGCATGTTCAGTAAAAGTAAGATCTGAGTATGTTATCCCGAGATCTGTGACTGTGTTTGTGTTTGAGACAAGGTCACCGTACATGTATAGACACATGCTAGGTTTCCAACGTCCGAAGTATGTTATCCCATCGTCAGAAACTGTCAATCACGTCTCATAAACCGTTAATGCCCAGCTCTCGCTACGCTCGGGCCCACGCTGTTCCTTGAAGATTTCATAAACGCTTAGTTATAACGGACGAAAAAACCAAAACACCGATCTGCCGCTTGATATTTCTTAATTGTTACACCAACATATGAAAAGAACAAGTGAACTAAGGTTTCTGACGATGTTTCACTCTTCTTTCTGAACAGCGACCGATGAGACGATGACTGTCGTATTGATGCCTCCGCGAAAATTGGGGAAGTTGGTTTTGAGCAAACAACCATGAATTGATCGTTCAATCTTCAACTACATTGACACTCCCCGCCAGAAAAAGGGATCCAATCCCTTTTTCCCATCACGACGAATACACGTTGACTTGGATGCTAGTGCGAGAATCTCGGCCACACGGACAGAGCTGAAATGGGAAACAAACAGAAAAGCCAACACACCACAAGCAGACTCACAGCACAATCTCACACATCAATGACGACCTGCGCCTTCCATTTAAAAGCATCCTCTTGCAAGAAAATCGCCACTTACTAGAATGACTCTTGCAGAATGCAACGTGACCATAGGAGCACCTCACGATACTCTACGCACATCCTCTTATCTACTCATTACCAATTACCACTGAAATCGCTTGTCACTCATTCTACCTCAATTCTAGTAACGATGACGTATGCGAGCCTCGGTCGTTTACACTCTTTCTCCCCGGCCTGTCGGACCGCAGCTAACAATTATCTCCGTATGCATGTCATTCTCAGCAATAGCCTCCTCGGCGTATAAGACCCATCTGCTGTCTCTAACATCAATCAATTCATTCATGGATGTAGAAGACTCGAAACAACTTCAGAAATAATCACGACGAAAATTTTAACAAAATTATGCAATAAAAACAAGACACGAAAACAACAAGTAAACACAATGAATCCAAAATACACCAGTCGCTATGACATACCACACGTATATACAAATAGTACAAACAAACTCGCCGATCATGTCTTGGTGGAATTCCTTTGAAGAATTGCAGGACTTACACCACTACGCCTACAACCTTTCTCAGGTTGACGATTGTAAGTTGTGGAACGTCCGGGCACAAACAAGATTAACCAACAATTACATCAATTGGAACTCACACAATTATTTAACACAAACATATGCACAATCAACACATCAGATGTTGTGGATTCTGGCACGACAAACTACCCTTGAAGAACTGTAGGACTTACAGCGGTACGCCTACATTCCTTCTCAGGTTGATGATCCAAGTGGAAGTCGTCCGGACACAAACAGAATTACCAACAGCTAGATGAAAGATGATATCAATTCAGTATATGCAATATGAACATATGTACAAAATCACACACCGAGCACATTGGACTGCTCACTGATGCGCTACCCTTTGAAGAATTGTAGGACTTACAACAGTACGCCTACAACCCTTCTCAGGTTGACGCCCTAGGTTGGAAAATCGTTGCAGAGTTCATTTGCTGACTTCCTTCTATCAGCTATATCCTCAAATCTGAACCGCGACACGCTCATGTCATTGTATCGTAGAATATAGATGAGGAACAAACACACGACGTATCTGGTCAACCAAGCGTAGGCACAGAGTAATTCACACCAAAGATAATAACATTCAAATAGTGACTTGAAACTAGAAATGCCTTTATTCATGCAAGTCAATTTAACAATTACTCTGTCTTGTACACTTAGCTTATCCTCAGTAATCTGAGCAATAACTTTCGTCTTTTCAAATGAAACAATTCTATCAAAATCATTGCAGAAGATACTTGAGTTGATGGGCGTCTGTTTCACTGTGGATGACAGCACCAACTACGGCTGACTGATATCAGTTGATGAACTTAGCGGTGGATCAAAAGCTGTTGTTGCTCGGCTTTCATATATTTGTCTACCTGCAAGACCACCACCACTGCTGTCTTTTACTATCAGCTCAGGTTTAGCACTAGCATCTGATGATAGGTGGGCTACATGCTGATCAATCACACTGACGGTCTCACAAGTACGCATGCCTTCTGCAACTGCTTCTGCATTTATTTCTACTTCGCGTTCAAGTTGTACAGAACCTTTATTTAACTTAGTGGTAGTAGGCATTCCCTCCATTTCATCATGATCAACCAAAGACAACTGTGAAGTATCATGATCACTATCACGAATATTCACTTTACCGTCAAGTTCATCATTTTCAAACTCTTTAATAACAGAAATAGACAATTTTGATTCCTCCTCACAAATCATTAAAGGTTTTAAATCTTCACTCTGACTAGTTATACCTTGTAAACTTTTGGAGTCAGAACTGCACTCTGAAGCAGTAACTCTATTCTGTGACACTCTATTCAACAATGGCTTACCAGTTGCAACTACAGACTTCTTGACCGCACTGTTATCGTCACACAATTCGGAGTAAGGCCTGGAGTTTACATTTAGCTTATCACTGAACTTGCTCACTTCTTCACAGTTCACCTCTGTATACACCTCTTGCAAACGTGTAAAACACAACCGTGTTGGTCTAGCATCTTGTAACTTATCTGTTGACGATGTACTACGAAACCTGTTACACTAACTAGGTCTATATGCATTACTAGACATCATGGAGCCTTCTCGATATCCACCTCTCTGAGGCCTATTCGTCATCAATGATTGCGTTTAACCCTTCGACTGCTGTATTCTAGGGGTGAGATTCAATATACTGGCAAACTTGCTCATCGATTGATTGACACTATCTTTTATTAGTTTCAGGATATCATCAAATTTTGGCTCGATACCCTCATCCTCCATACGGGAGCTTATCTTCACCCACTTCCTTTGCAGCCGAGTAGGTAGACGTCTTGCTATTACTTCTGGTATAAAACTCGAGTTGAGGTCACTCATGCAATTCATCGAAATCAAGGTATTCTTATAACTCATAAGATTATCCAAAAACTCAGTGAGTGCCTGGGAATCATCCTGTGATTGACCACCATTACCCTTGACAACCTCGAATAGGTTCCCTGCAATCATCGAAGGTATTCCAAACCTTTGACGTAATATGCTCATAGCCTCGTAGTAGCCCTCTTTTGGCTTCATAAACTTACAACACTGTATAGCTCTTGCAGCATCTCCAGTGCAATACCTCATCAGATACAATAACTTCAATTCATCATTTAATAAAAACCACTCAACATGATCTCAAACTCCTTTACAAATTGTAAATAATCGGCCGGGTTTCCATCAAAACACCGTGGTTCAAATTTAGGAAGTTTGATGTTCCTATCATCCCTGAACGGCGAAACAGTAACATCAACCATGTCATGCTTAACATCAGACACATCGTTACAAGTAACAGACAAGTCACCATGACTTACTTTCCTGTTTGTATCCAAGACACTCTGTCCCTTCTTTGACCCAGGCATTGTTGAACTTAAGCAAATTCCAAAAACGTTCCAGATATTGCTTGTTCAAAGAGGACTTGACCGGCACCAGGAGAAATGAACGGCGACTATCCAAACTTTCACCAACTGTTTGAATCCGCCAGATCTGTTTAATAATAATAATGTATATTCTCATATAAACATATAAATTTACATGAAAATGCATGCCATTTTTACAGGCAAGATCAAGTATGATATAATATCAAATCGTAGATTATCTACAAGTTAATAATGTTTCGACAGTTAAATATTTGATAAATATATAAATACACATTGTCAGAACTAGGCTGTATAGTTATTGAATTGTACAATTGTCCTCCAGGTTGAGCGGGAAAATCGACTTCGTTTCGTTTTCATCCCGTGGTTGTCGGCATACGATAACCAACCAAAATTGAGGTAAGTACAACGTTTACAAGGGATTGAAAGCTGTTTTAGAAAAGTAAAAGTGCTGAGGTGAATCATTAAATTGTAATGAAATAGGTAAGTGCAAGTATCATTAATAAATGCATTAATAAAGAAAACTCCCTAGGCTGACAACGTTCATTTGCAATGTATAATGCTACACGTATATCTCGTAATATCATGATGTCCACTTTTGGTTTTAATACATTTATCCTCAGTTGTGCCAGTTGTTTTTGTTTTATACCCTTTTGTGCATTTAGTGTACAACCGTACCCTTCAGAGAGTAGGAATATAATAAATCATAAAGAGCTGTAAAATGTTAGGTTTAATGGGATATAATGAGGATCAAGTAAAGACGTTATTGGAAAATGAATGAGATAAGACATTGTGAAGTGGTATTTAAAGATCAGACAATGGACAGCAAGTTAGTTTATAAGATGCCCCATAAATCTGTGCAGATCCCGCGTGGTCGCGTCTCAACAATAGGCTGAGCGAATGGTATATTTAAAGGTAGAAGCATGATCTGTCAAGGCGTTCATTATAATCTTTTTTAAGATAAAGATCTAAGGCCTTATAAAAATCAGAAATATCTCGAGCCTTCAAATTGTATATTGCTGTTCCTGCAGAATGGGGTGATTCACCTTAGTGACCCCCACCATATCTACTGATCGGCTGACGCCACCCTCCTTCCTTTTTTGATGTTAAGCTCTGAGACTATGATTATTATGGCTACCGCAAATATGTTGCTTGGTACCAGACATGTTCGTACCTCATATTCCATCTCCCTAGCTTTCTTAATGAGTGCTTCCGATAGGTCTCCGCGTACATCTTTATGAACATTATATGTGTGCATGCGTCCTAATGAACAGATTACTTTACAAGAAGTTAGAACCTTAAAGAATAAAAAGAATAGGTTTTGTGAATAGGGAAGCAAGATTCAGCAGAACAATATAGTTAGGGATCAATGTAGGTAGTATGAACTGAAGGTAAGGTGGGTTGGCAGGACTTAGTGTACTAGATTATCATGACAGTCTTGTATATAGTAGACATCTGACATTGCAAAGTAACCTGTCTACATATATTATAAAAAGAGATTAACAGAACCAACAAAATTTCAGCATTTGTTTAACAATACTACAGAAGGGTAGTTAGTACTACAGGTAGTCGTAAGGCAAATCAATCTATGTATAATAAGAGCATAGTCAGTGTCATAATTCGTATTATCAAAGAATACATTAGGCTCAATAACTGAGTGTTATAAGGGAAACAAGCATGGTAAAGCAAGAGAACACTTGCCGCATAGCTATTTTAATCATTTTAAGTATTTTAATGACAATCGAATTTCAAGTATTGAACCTACATAATTACTAAGTGTTATTATATTGGTATTGGGACTAGTGTACTTTCCGTAGTTAAATATTGAAAAGCCATTGTCTCTCCACTCTACCAGCAGTTGAGATCTTTGAGGCGGGCTAGGGTGGACATGTTTATATGTTTTTCTAGGCTCCTTTTGAAACTGTCAGGCCTTTCACAGGATCTAATCTCTGAGGGTAGTTGGTTCCAAAGTTTGCAATATTTAATGGTGAAGAAGTTAGCTCTAGTGGTGAGTTTATGGGTGTTAACCTTGAGAAGGTAGTTATGGTTGCGTAGTCCATACGATTCAGGATTAGCCCAGGTTATGGACGAGTTACTGTTACAGTGCTTTCTTATAACTTTGAATAAGAGAAATAAATTGCACTTCACTCTCCTTAACCATAAGGGCTCTAAGTTCAGTCGAATACATCTGTCAAGGTATTATATTTGCTAACCATAGCCTAATATGCGTTCCGTGAAGAATCTTTGGACACTTTCAACTTTTTTTCTGTCTGCTGATTTAAAGCTACTGTATAAGTGGGCACAGTATTCAAGTTTGGGGCGAATGCATATCTTATATATGGCTAATCTGGCTTCTGCAGTGTAGAAGTTGCGTAGCACAAAGCCGGTTAGACGTTTACAATCAGATACCACCTTATTTGCATGTTCAGTAAAGGTAAGATCTGAGTATGTTATCCCGAGATCTGTGACTGTGTTTGTGTTTGAGACAAGGTCACCGTACATGTATAGACACATGCTAGGTTTCCAACGTCCGAAGTATGTTATCCCATCGTCAGAAACTGTCAATCACGTCTCATAAACCGTTAATGCCCAGCTCTCGCTACGCTCGGGCCCACGCTGTTCCTTGAAGATTTCATAAACGCTTAGTTATAACGGACGAAAAAACCAAAACACCGATCTGCCGCTTGATATTTCTTAATTGTTACACCAACATATGAAAAGAACAAGTGAACTAAGGTTTCTGACGATGTTTCACTCTTCTTTCTGAACAGCGACCGATGAGACGATGACTGTCGTATTGATGCCTCCGCGAAAATTGGGGAAGTTGGTTTTGAGCAAACAACCATGAATTGATCGTTCAATCTTCAACTACATTGACACTCCCCGCCAGAAAAAGGGATCCAATCCCTTTTTCCCATCACGACGAATACACGTTGACTTGGATGCTAGTGCGAGAATCTCGGCCACACGGACAGAGCTGAAATGGGAAACAAACAGAAAAGCCAACACACCACAAGCAGACTCACAGCACAATCTCACACATCAATGACGACCTGCGCCTTCCATTTAAAAGCATCCTCTTGCAAGAAAATCGCCACTTACTAGAATGACTCTTGCAGAATGCAACGTGACCATAGGAGCACCTCACGATACTCTACGCACATCCTCTTATCTACTCATTACCAATTACCACTGAAATCGCTTGTCACTCATTCTACCTCAATTCTAGTAACGATGACGTATGCGAGCCTCGGTCGTTTACACTCTTTCTCCCCGGCCTGTCGGACCGCAGCTAACAATTATCTCCGTATGCATGTCATTCTCAGCAATAGCCTCCTCGGCGAAACGAAGTCAATTTTCCCGCTCAACCTGGAGGACAACTGTATAATTCAACAACTATACGGCCTGGTTCAGACAATGAGTGTAATTATATATATATATCAGATATTTAACTGTTGAAACATTATTAACTTGTAGACAATTTATGATTTGACATTATACCACACTTGATGGTACCTGTAAAAATAGCATGCATTTTCACGTAAATTTATGTTTATATGAAAATACAAATTATTATTATTATATGAAGTATCCCTCATTTGAAGTGGCGCCTCTAGCTTAACATTGACGGTATTTGCGTGGTTTGTTGATTAAAGTTGGGGCCAGTTGTCCAGGCAAATGCAGTTGACGTGATTTTAGTGCTTATTTTACTCTTGTCGCATGAATTCATATGAGAATCGTTGTTTGACATTGTTCTTGGGCGTTTACGTATTGTTTGTGCAGCAGGACGCCTAAATATATGCCTCATACAGTGGTTATTTTGTATGCCGA